TCAATTTAACACAAAATATTCAAATAATCACAACATATTAAATTAACACTGGGATATTAAAAATTTTATATAAAATAATATTTTAAGAAACAAGACTTCGAGCGGACTGTTTTTACGCAAGTGTATAAAATGTTCTTTATTTAGCGTAACAATATAAAAAATATAATATAAAAAATAAAAAATATAATATAAAATGCAAAAGGGGATATGCGATTCATTTCGAGCTTACCTCCGTAGGGATGAAGTCCAGGAAATCGTCAAAAGTCTTTGCGGCAGGAAGTCCGCAATATCTACGGTAATAATTGTAGCCAGGGAGGCCGTGATCGCGGCCACGTTCGATGTCCAGGCTGACGGCATCCAAGCCAAGATCGTTGCCATTGCTGGTATACAATTTGCTTGTCATCTGCAAGAGTAACGATTATGCATTAGCACGAGAGATTCCTCCCTACGAGCGTTTTTTTTTTAATACGGAGAGGAAAAAAGTACTTGACGCCTGCATGCACTTACGTCGGGAATGAGACTGATGTCCATCCTCTGGCTGGTCTGAGTGGCGAGGCCGCGGAGCAATCCGTCGAGCACCTCCTCCGATTCGATTACGCGCGGATTGAAGAAATGCTCCGCCAGCTGTAGCGTCTTGTTCTGCTGGCGGAAATTGTCCGGCAAGCTAGAAACAGGAAAGGATCGTATATTTTCTCGCTGTATATTTTCGCACGGTATAATAACTATCAATCACCGGGAGAATTTATTTCCGGCGTATAGCGCTTACCTCAGCTCTCCCTGCATCAGCGAATTCAGGAAACGCAGTGCCGCGGTGGCGGCCTCGTTGCTGACCGCCGGCTCGTCATCGGAATTGTAGCCGCGGCTGTAATTGTTCCCCGTGGCGAGACCCATGGCCCGTGTGAACCTTCTGCCCAACAGGATCGGCAGCCACTCCTTGTACGTGATGTGCTGAATCTCCGCGATCACGATGCGCCTGGCCTCCTGGTACAGAACCTCGTCCGGCCAGTCCCGGTTCAGTCTGGCAAGCTCGTCGGCGATGCGATTGTGCTCACGGTGCCAGACCGTGTGTATCACAGCTAACTGAGGATGAACGTTCACGCGATCGTCACCTGGAAGCATATATTTGTTAGAAATATTATAAAACGCTCTTCGTGACAAATATACACGGAAAGAACGATTTTGT